GAGAAGGGGCCTGATCGATGTGTGTGAATGAGGGAGGGATTATTGTCCCTGGGAATGAAAAGGGGGCAGCAGACCATTGGTTCATGGTGGTTTAGGGGCGGGGCTAGGGAGGAGGGCGGTGTCAACAGCGCTAGGAGAGCTTCATGTCCTCCAGCCCAGCCTCTCGGGTATCTCTTCGCTGCCGGCTCCCTGGTGCCCCTCTTTGCTCCATGAGAGGAGAAGACCATTATCCAGACATTTTAGGATTTACATAAAATCCACCTTTGTTTTCACTGCTGCCATTAAACCTCATGGCAGGATCCTAATGGGCTGTGTTCTTTCCAGGAACCTGTTGGGCCGACTGGTTTCCAGCCTGAGACATTCAGGAAGTTTTTAGCTCTGCACTTGCACGGTGCTGTGTGAACCCAGGACCACTCTGGGGTCTCGAGCCCCCCGGCCCCTTCCGCACAAGATGCTGTATCCAGAGCAGTGCTGGGCCGCCCGGAGCCTCCGTGCTCACCCGGCCTGTGGTCTGGTTGCCGACAGAGAGCCCTTCCGCTGCCCCGGAGCCTGTGCCTGTGTGGGGGAGCTGTGGGAGGGGGGGTGCCCGTAGCTGTATGTGAGCCCCACCGTGAGCCGGCCTATGTGTGGGTGTGGGCCCTGAAGCCTGACCTGCCCCTGGTAAGCCAGGCTCTGCCCACAGCCGGCTCTGACTTACAATGACTTCAGATAACAATCTTCGTCTCTTTTGAGTTTCACCTTGTTCATTTGACACTTGAGGATAATGACCTCCCGTGTCGCGAAGATGGAGTGGCCGCCACAGGATAGGTGCTCTCTGGGGCTCCCTGGGTTCTCAAGGGACTCTCCAAACTGTGGGCACATTTCATCAGGGCTGCAGAAACGCTGACTAGAACATTTGTTGTAGATTTCTCCCTAGCATCCGGGTAAATAGACCAAGTACATCCCTGGTTCGCCTGGCCTCTCTGTGCACACCACCTCCGAGTCCTGCCCTGGGCCCCGCACCGTAGACCCAGCACCCCGTCTCGTCCTCCCGTGTCGTTTCCATATTCAGGGAAGCGCTTGAATGCCTGTGTGCTGGGCACTGTTCTGGGCCCTTGAGGTAAGGGACCTCAGATAGTAGAAGGTCACCTAGGTCACACAGTGGGTGGTACAGGTCTGCTTCCTAGGTAAACGCTTGGAGATGTGGTGATTTTGGGGAAGGTCTCGAGGACAAGCCCCTGTGGGGAGTGATAGGGCGTGCTGGGCAGAGAACCCGAGCTCTGTGGGTTTGTACCTGAGGTCTCGACCAGTTCCCAGTTCTGTGGGTGCCCTGGAGCAGAGGTGAGGAGCGGAGCCTTTCTGCAGACACCGTTGGCCTGCCACGAGTCATTGGATGCGCACTGTTCCTCAGAGCGAGAGAGCCCGAGGTGCAGCGGGGAGGAGGGCAAGTCCTGGAGGGAAGCAGGGAGGCTGGCCCTGCTGGAGGGCCTCTCAGGGGAAATGGGGCAGCACGAGCCACTAGAGCCGGTAAATGGCCAAGTGGAGCTCTGCCCCTGTGTGTCTGGCTCCCAGGCTCATCCTCTAGCCACTTTGCAACTTACCTTTTAGGCTTGGGTGGGATGGTGGTGGCGGCTTGAAGCCGAGCTGGGCTGGCTGAAACCCCTGGAGCCTGTGGGAGCGAGGCTGTGCGTCAGCCGGCCACGGCAGTTTGCCGCCAGCAGATGACCCTGTGGTTCGAGGACTGCCCTGGGAGGGGCCGGTGCTGCAGGGTGGGCCTGGGCCACAGCCCACCTTGAGTGAGGACAGCCCTTGTGGCTGGCCTTGGTGTGTCCCCTGTGGATCTCAGAGCAGAGCTCTGGGTCCGGCGCAGCTGACCTATGAGGCGAGGCAGACAGGACTGCCGGGTTTTATCGTCCCCCGACAGATGGGGAGACTGAGGCTTAGAGAGCAGGTGTTGTGGTGTGAAGAGCTGGGAGTCTCACATGTGATGACAGCTGCCTTTTCCACAGAGAGGTGTCTGCTTCCCCCAAATCCCAAGAGCCTGCAGCCTCAGCCTCACCGTCTGCATCCAGGGTCCCTTCTGTGGGCAGCAGCACAGCCCTGCCCCCTCCAGCCCGCAGGCCGTGGGTCCCCTTCCCAGCCAGGCCGCGACAGAACTGAAGACCGGATCAGGACTGGGGCCCGAGCCCTAAGGTTCCCCGCTGCAGACCTCCGGGGCAGTCCAGCAGTCAGCCCAGTCTAAAAACCTGCTGTGCGCCCTGCCCAACCTCGTGCTGGGAGCCAGAGCTGGAGCCAGAGCTACAGAAGGAGCCCTGGTCTCTTCTCCAGGGGCTCCCAGTTTGCTGGCAGATGCTGACGGAGCAGTGGGTCTCCTCTGGGTCCAGGGAAGCCGTGAAGGCTGCCTTTCCCCTGCCTGAGCACCTGCCCACAGTAGGTGGCACGGCAGGCATCACCACAGAGGGGACAGTATGCAGGTGTGACTACCCAACAAACATCCAGTTCCTCCGTGAGTAACAGCACCTGCTGGGTGATTCTGGGGACAAGGAACACTCAGATGTCCCCAGCTTGGAGGAACACCTGGCCTCAGGGGGTTGCTGGGGGGCGCTCGGTATTCTCATCCTGCAAGCAGAGGTGGGGGAGCCGGTGAGGCTAGAGGCAGGATCCCCTTCCAGCTCAGCACCCCACACCATGGCTCCTGCCTGCCTGGAGAGCGCTGGCGGCAGCACGGGGCCCACATGGCAGAGGTTGTGTGCTCAGGGAGCCAAACCCTTCAGAGCTGTGAATGCGGGTCAGGCTGAGTGCCGTATGCCTGGTCATTCAGAGAGGTCTATGTGGGGGATGAGCCTAGAAGCCTTGTTCAAGAGGAGGGAAGGGCGAGATGCGAGCTTCCAGGTCTTCCCGGCTCTTCTATCACCCCCTTCTGGACTCCCCCCCCCCCCACCCCCGCTCAGGGAGGGCTTCCAGGGGCCCTAACCGCCAGCACTGCTGTTAGTGACTGATGCAAGGCGCTGTTCTAAACTGCTCAAACACACCAGCTCATCCTCACAGTGCCCCGGGAGGAAGCTTTACAGATGAGGAAACAGGACACAGGTAGGAACTAACTTGTCCATGGCCACAGGTAGTAGTAGTGGCCAGAACAGCGTCTGGCAGGGTCAGACCTTGTAAAGGTGTACCGAGCCCACATCTGGCCTGGAGCAAGGTCCTGGGGGCACAGAAAGTTCTACTTTCTCAATGTCCAAACCCACACACCCCACTGCTTACCTCGCCCCAGCTCTCCATGTGTGGATGGAGGCTGGGACTGGGGCTTCCCATGTCTGCCAGCCCCACCCAGCTGCCTTCCAGAATGCCAAAGGCTACTCTGAAAGTCCTCCAATAGCTCCCCCTTGCCTTGGAGGTGAAAACAAGACCAAACTGAAAACAGGAAAATCAATGTCCCCGGGGGGGGGGGGGATCCCCAGCCTCTACACGGGGAAGCGTCCACCTGAGTGGGAAAGGCACTGTGGCTGCAGCCTTGGGGACCCCAGTGGCCTGCACGGACTCTGTGGAACAAGGCAGCCCACACCTGTTCTATGCCCTGAAAAACAGCCTCTGGCACACCGGTGTGTGTGTGAGACCCAAAGCTGAAGCCGGAGTTTAGAGCGCCCCCACATACCTGATGGGAGACTGCAGTCTCCCCTCCCAACCCCCCTTCCCCAAAGGCCACTGCGACCCCACACAGCAACTGCAGATTAACATGCCCAGGAAGAGCATAAACACCTTGAACACAAAACAAGATCTTGTTACGCACCAGCCAAAAAAAACCGCGGGCAACCGGCCACCTTGCGTTCTGTAGTCAGAATGATAAACTCCGACCCACATCCCCCACACCCCCCCAAACATGTCAGGAAGGGCTGCGGAAAAAAGATGTCCCTTTAATAAAACGTTATCAACATATATCGTACACAAACTACAATGTATCATAATTTTTTTTTCCTCTCTTAATTCAGAACCAGACTACAAGGTAAGAAAAAACACAGAAACAGCTACAATGTTCCCAATAATCCGCACAAGGTCTTTTTTCAGGCAGATGGTATCTCACATAGTATGATATACATGGATCAGGGAGGGAGGGAGGGAGAACAGACAGCAGCTACAGGGGCGCGGGGAGGAGGGGCTGTAAATGTACAAAGAATTCAGGTGTCTTTAGGGCGAGACACGGGAGGTTTCGATGGGAGCGGTGAGGTGAGGGAGGCCGTGAGTCACCCCTCCTGAGAGGGGACAGGCTCCACTGTCGCATTTGTCGGTTTTTGAAAATAAAAACAGGACCGGAAACAGCACGTCTGTTTGGTTGTTGTCCCCCGCCCCCACAGCTATTCCAAAGTCTTTCCATCCAGTTCCGAGCGTATACAGAGCAATTCTGGTCAATTTCCCGTCTTTGAAAAAGAAGCAAGAATCAAGAGGAAAAAACAAAACAAAAGAAAACCCAAACTCCAGCCCTACAGTGCCCACACACACACGACGAGGATGATGCGAGCCAGGGCCACGGGACAAGAACGCGGGGGTCACAGTTGCCATGTCCCAGGTCATAGCCATCCTGTTGGGGGCGGCCTCCCCCACTGTGCTCTGTCCAGGCCACCACCCAGCTGGCAGGATTCTCGCTGGGAAGACTGGGGTGGGGGCCGAGGACGGGGCCGGAGCGGCACAGAGGCCGGGCAGGGGAAGGTCCAGGAGAGAGAGGAAGCGGTCCTGGGAACACAGTGCATGCCACCGGGTCACAGCGTGTCTCCGCCGCCGCGGAGTCCTGAAAGCGGTCAGGTGGTCAGGCCCCTCGGGCCACATAATGGGGTGGAAGTGGGGGAGGCGGTTCTGGGGTCCCAGGTGTGCAACTGCCGGTGCCACCTTGGCTGGGAGAAACCAAGCAAAACCCAAACAGGTTCCTGACCCTCCCTTGTCCATCCCCATGAACCAAAAACCCCAAGTGGAGAAGGGTGACTTTCTTTTCTCTTTCCAAAAAAGGCCTTTTGAAAGAAACCACCGATTGTAAACTGCCCAGTTTATTATTATTATCATTATTTTTAGATGGCTACAAAGACAGCGTGAGACCTCACACCTAGACTAGCTTTCCTGGTGGAAGGGCTTGGGTACAGACATACAGCAGGGGGTGGTTGGTTTTTTTTTTTTTTTTTCTTTTTTTTTTTAGTTCTTTTTTTTCAAAGAAGAAAGCAAAGAGGTTGACTGGGGTGGGGTGGGGTGGGGGGGCTTGCTAGAAGCTTCCATTTTTAAAAATTTTTTCCCCCAAAAAACCCCCCTTGAAAACAAATTAAAAAATCCCAGTAACGGTAAAACCCCAAACAAACAAACAAACAAAAACAACAAAAAAGTGTCACGTACATAAAAGGTCCTTTTGGGAATGGGCAAGGGGTGGGATTTTTCTGGTCATTGACTTGAAATATATTTTTATTTTGAGTTTTGTCCTTCATGTTTTATGGAATAAAAAGTTCGGCCTTTTTATTGCATGAAACTAAAATTGGGACAGGTTGGGGGACTGGAGGAGGAGAGTGGGGGCTGAGGGGGAGCAGGGAGATGCCCCTCCCCCAGCTCCTGGGTAATGACACCTCACTTCTTCTTGCATAATTTCTGGCATCTTCCCGCCTGCAATGCCGGCTCTCTCAGCGTCTCGGAGAAGAGGAGGGGATCACACGCTCATCGTCATGCTTGGAGAATACTGGAAGGGGAGAAGCAGACAGGGTTGTGAGGCCAGTGTGTGGGAGACTTGGGAACTGGAGAGGGCCCATCTGGGGGTGTGGGGCCCACTGCCCACTCAGGCACTAGCCTGTGCCCCCGCCACAGTGGGAGCTCCAAGGGTCCCCCCCGCCCCTTCCTTTCTCAAGTTCCCCCTTTATCCAGCTGAGGAAGCAGCAGATACTGCCCTCCCCACACAGGGTGCGCCAGGGCTCTGCCAGGGGAGTGGTCTGGGGTTCTCAAAAGCTGCTGGAGCAGGACGCTGTTTCTTCAAATGAGTTGTAAGGAGCAGCTGGCCCCTCTGCATGGAGACCCCCAGAAGTCTCTGGTTGCACGAACCTTCTTCCCCAGGTCAGACAGAAGTGGACCCCAGAGACCATGCTGCCCAGAGCGCCAGAGCCCACGACTTGTGAGTCTCAACCTGGGGCTGTTCCAGCCACATCAGCTTTCTCAGTGTTGCAGGCACTGTTGATGCCTCCAGAAGGACCTGCCAGTGGTCAGGGTGGCAGTGGCTGGGGCCATGCAGCAGGGGTTGGGGGGCAGGGGGGCTCTGCACTTTGTAGAGAAAAATGACTAAGGAGAAAGCCAGTGGCGCGGCTCTTGGGACACCAGCCAGCCAGGCTGGTGTTGGACAGTGCATTCCAGAAGTTGTTAAAGGTACGATCCCTGCCCGCAGGGGTGAGTGGAAGAATCCAGGGGCAAAATGGGAATCGGGGTGTGGGGGGGGAACACAGCACTTACATTGTCATTCTGGAAGGAGTGAAGGAAGTTCCCTCCTAGCTCACCATCGTCTCGAGGGGTGCCTGGAGGATTGCTAATGCCACTTATGTTGTTGGGAGAATTCTGGAGAGAGGAGAGAGGAGAGAGGAGGTAAGCCCCAGCACCCCAGCAACCAGCCCACCTGATGGGGAGATAAGCTTTCTGGGGCCTTGAGGCTGGGGCAGGGTGGATGCTGTCAGCGAGGAAATAGAACACACACTCACTTTTGGAAGTCCGTCTATGTCACCTGACCCTGGAAGGAAGGAAAGTTTGGATTCAGTTTCCTGTTTGCTCTTCCACAGAGAGGCCTCCAGACCACCCCCAGATCCCACACTACTGCGCAGAGAGTCTCCTGTCCTGGCTGGAGCTCCGGGCATCTTCCTACGAGCCCAGCAAAGGCCAGTGTGGGGGACCAGGCCCGGTTGAGCCGAAGATGGACGCTGGCGCAGGGCTGGGCAGGGTAGAGCGTGGCCATGGGGCCGGTGCCTGCTTACCTAACGATCCATTCATGTGGTGTGGCTCCATGCCGCCCATGCCTCCCATCGGGCCGTCAGAGCCTGGACCCATCGGGAACTGGGGGAGAAGCACAGGGTGTGGTGGCTGAGTGGGCCCCAGGCCCTTTGCAGCTCTCTTGCAGGCTCCCACACCCAGCTGCAGAAGAGCAGTGCCCTCAGGGAGCTTCCACTCTGCCAGAGCCCCTCTGTCAGGCACACGGAGGTGTCTGACATGGGCCAGGAGGCTGGAACGGGGCCCTTTCCTTGGCCCCCAGAGCTGTGCGGGCAGAGGTGAGGAACCAAATCCAGGCAGGGAAAGACACTGGGCTGAGGCCACACCATGTCATACTGGGACAATTCTCTAACCAAATGGCATGGACTTACTTGGGCTCTCTATGTCCCTGGGGTGGAGTGTGTGGCTCACCAGTCAGAACCTCACACAGACACACACAGATACACACGCACAAACGGAAGACTGCCTGTGCCCAGCCAGGGGCTGAAAGTACTAATGCTTTTTCTCCCCATTTTACAGATAAGGAAACTAAAGCACAGAGAGAGTAGGAAATGCTCTGCCAGAGGTCCCCGTCCCCCCTCGGAGATGGGAGGCGCAGGCGGCTGTTCCACAAGCCTCTGAGTGCTTCCTCAGAAGTGAAAGAGTTCCATGGGGGTGGTGAGGAGATGGGGTCTACTGAGCAACTGAGGAGGGGAGGAGCCGGGCAGGGGACAGTACAGAGGGAGGCCACCGACGACGTCCCCACACCGAAGTGGTGGCGCAGGCGGGTCACAGGGCAGAGGCGGAGTCAGCTCCAGCCTGGGCCTCAGGCCTGTGCGGGGCTCGCAGACCAGACCAAAGGCTGGAGGTCACATCACATGGTCACGAAGGGAGGGCTGAGCTTTGTCTGGACAGCCAAGGCCCCGTGAGGCACACCGGCCGTCAGGGTGGACAAGGATGGACCATGTGGCATCTGGCCCCGTGCCGGGGGCTAGGGACACAGAGCCGAGTCATGGCTGGGCCTCAGCCTGGAAGGGGAGCCCACAGCTGCAGACACCCAACCACCCCACGGGACAGACGTGCTGAGTTCCAAAGGGAGCTGCAGACAAGGCAGGGCCAAAGCTTCTGGAAGAGGTGCTGCGGAGAGGGCAGAGAAATCAGAACATGCTGCATGGAGGTGGCAGGGGGCCAACATAACTGAGGGACAGGATTTGGCCAGGCAGAGACAGGGCATGGAAGCCATTCTAGGCAGGGGTCCTGGGTGAGTATAAGAGGCAAGTGGCAGCAGGGAGTGCCGGGGCAGAGACCAGTGTGCCCAGACTGGGAGGGAGCGCCTCGGGGCCATCACAGCCACCGGAGTCTGGGCCTCCTTGCCTCCCGCCACCCTGGAGGCTTCCTAGGGCCACATTTCTGACATGTGGCAACAAACTTCACACTTCTTGATCCAAATGAGAGGAAGACAAGGGTTTAGGAAGTCAGCTTAGGTCACAACTCCATTAGACAAAACAGCTCCAAGCATGATAATTCTATGAAGTTTTAGATCATTGTGGTTTTTTTGTGTATTAGTATTTTTTTTTAAATAGGCTCCACGCCCAGCATAGAGTCCAACATGGGGCTTGAACTCATAACCCTGAGATTGAGACCTGAGCCGAGACCAAGTCAGATGCTTAACCCACTGAGCCACCCGGGCGTGCCTCTCCTGTATTCTTTTTAACAGCCTTACTGAGATAGAATTCACATCCCATCCAATTGGCCCATTTCAAGCCCACAATTCAGAGGTTTCTCATATATTCAGAGCTGTACAACCACCGCCAAATCTGTTTTAGAACCTTTCCGTCACCCCATGAAGAAGCCCTGTACCCATCAGCAGTCCCTCCTCAGCCCCCCTCCAACCCCCAGCCCCAGACAATCATTACCTCGTTTCCCGTCTCTATGGATTTGCCTGTTCTGGACGTTTTGTATAAACGAAATCCTGCGTGAGCTTTTGTGGTCGGCTTCCTCCACTCAGCATGTCCTCAAGGTTCACTCATGTTGGGGCATGAATTAGTACCTCACTCCTTCTGGCCAAATCACATTCCACCAGACGGCGAGGCTGCATTTCATCAGTCCCTTCAGTCACCAGACACAGAGGGTGTCCCCACTTTGTAGCTATCACAAGTACCGCTGCTCTCGACACTTGAGTACCGTCACTACGTGGACACACATCATGGTTCTCGTGGGTAGAGACCGACCCCATAGTGGAAGCGCCGGGTCACGTGATGATTCTGTGCAGCCTCTCGAGAACCTGCCAGACGGTTCTCCACAGCGGCCGCATCTTCTTCGGTTCCTGCCAGCGGAGGAGGGCTCTGAGGTGTCCCCGGCCTTGTGGGCGCACAGGGCTAAGCTCACTGTGGTTTCCACTCACATCTCCCTGACAACGAAGTGGGGCATCCTTTTCTGTGCTTACGGGCCACTGGGACGTCTTTGGAGCAACGTCTGTTCCTATCCTTGGCCCATTCTTTAAACCGGGTTGTTTTCTCGTGACTGAGTTTTGTTTGTTTTTTTTTTTAAATATTTTATTTATTTATTTGACAGACCAAGATCACAGGTAGGCAGAGAGAGAGGAAGGGAAGCAGGCTCCCCGCTGAGCAGAGAACCCAATGCGGGGCTCGATCCCAGGACCCTGGGATCACGACCTGAGCCAAAGGCAGAGGCTTTAACCCACTGAGCCACCCAGGCGCCCCTCTCGTGACTGAGTTTTAAGAGTTCTCGGAGTGCACCCAGGCGCCCCTCTCGTGACTGAGTTTTAAGAGTTCTCGGAGTGTTCTGGATTTGAGTCCCACATCAGGTATGTGATTTGTGAACAGAACTCTCTCTACTCTGGTCTGTGTTTTTACCTCCTGGAAGGTGTCCCTTTGAAGTGCAGAAGTTTTCAATCTTGATGAAGTCCCATTCATCCGCTTTTTGCTTTTGTCGCTTGGGCTTCCAGGGTCCTAGGTAAGAAGGCTTTGCTTTCGTCCAGGCCACAGGGATGTCCACCTCTGTTTTCCTAGAAGCGTTCTATCGCTTCGGTGCCGCCGGGCAGACAGAGTCTGCTGCACGGATTCCGGGTATCGGTGTAAACAGCGGTCAGACATCACGCACTTGCCTGGGGACACCCACTGTCCCTGCACCGCTTCTTTATTCTGTTGTTAGTGACTTTGTTACATAAATGCTAGCATCTCAATAAAGCCATATTAAGGCTGGTTAATGGGAGCAGGGAATAGAGGACTAGTTAAATAAACAGTTTCTGTAAGAAAAATGTAACAGTTTTATGTTTCTGTCTTCTAGTACAGTGACTTACTTGAGCTCTTTATTGGATATTTAAATTCTATAGACTATATTACAATGTAGTCCTACAATATACAAATGTAAGTTTTTTTTCCTTGAAGCTAAATGCAATGGACTGATTAAACAGATACTACTTATGTTTGATTTTTAAAAATCACATTTCTTGGGGTATCTGGGTGGCTCAGTCAGTTAAGCGTCTGACTCTTGATTTCAGCTCAGGTTATGATCTCAGGGTCATGGGATCGAGCCCTTAGTCAGGCTTTGCGCTCAGAGGAATGGAGAGTGTGCTGGAGATTCTCTCTCTCTCCCTTTGCCCTTCCTCCACCCACTCCCACACAAGCTCTCTCGAATAAATTTTCTTAAATATTTTTTTTATTCATTTGAGAGAGAGAATGCAAATAAGAGCACTAGCAGGGGGAAGGGTCAGAGGGAGAGGGAGAAGCAGAAACCCAGCTGAGCAGTGAGCCCGACATGGGTCTCAATCCCGGGACCCTGGGACCACGGCCCAAGCTAAAGGCAGACACTTAACCAACTAAGCCACCGAGGTGCCCCAATAAATAATCTTTTAAAAAAATTCATGTTTCTTTCTGTCCTATATTATAAGGGGGATTTTCTTTCATGCCCCACCCCCTTACAAAGATTAGAAAGAAGTTTTGTACGAAGAGGTAGTTAGCATGGTTTCAGGTTAGGTGTCTTGGATAATCCATTCAAGGAAGGTCATTTGTCCAACTTGATGAAGCGAGGATATCCTGTGTGTCCGGATAGGAACACAGGCGGCACATTTCTGGACGGGCCCAGGCCAGGCCGATGAGCTGCTGGGGTGACCCATCTTACTTCTGCAGGTGCAACACGGCAGGCAGTGCCTGCTTTCCCCACTAGTAGCCTCTAGGCCAGGTTTTTTAATTCCTTTAGGTAGTGGCAAATGCAAAAGTCACTGTGAGCTGCCACTCTGCTCTAATCAGGCCCTGCTGTCAGCCCCACACGGTCACCCAGAAATATCCCCTCCACAAATGCGTCTGTGTGTGGAGTGCTTGGGAGGTCGCTGACTTGCACGGATTTGGGGACCTGAGGAGACTCTGCTCCAGCTCTCCTAAGAGGTCCATCATACTCTGTATCTACAAGCTGGTTTAGGGAGACCAGCACTTGCCGGTCAGGTCTCTCTGCATCCCTAAATCCATCAGCTGGGCTGTCCTGTCTCAGACGTCCATCACTTCTAAGCTTCCCAAAGCACCACGATGTCATTCTCACTTAAACCTCTCTCTCTGGGAAAATGGTTTAACACAGAGACGTGAGATATACTTGTTTGTGTGCTCCAAGCTGGATTCCAAGTGAGTTGTTTTTCTTTTTTTAAAAAAGATTTTTATTATTTGAGAGAGCAAGGAGAGAGTGTAGAGGGGAGGGGCAGAAGCGGACTCTCTGCTGATGCAGGACTAGATTCTAGGACCCGGAGATCATGAACTGAGCCGAAGGCCAGACGCTTAACTGAGCCACCCAGGGGTCCCGTAAGTTATAATTTTAATCGAGAAGCTGAGAAAGTGTTATTTAACGTGGCTGCTCTTTACTGGTGACAACTTTTGAGTTCTTGGGCAACCTCATTTCCAAAACACAAGTCCCTATGCTTTGGTCGATGAGGTTTTGACGCAAGCCCCAATGACACCCAATGACTCAGGTGCGGTCTGCTCATCCTCTTCTCGGCTCCTGGGGCCCTCCTGCGACATCACTGAACGGTTCTGGAGCCACAGCATACACATTTCCATCTTCCTGGAATTCCTCTCAACATTCTCTTCTCAGCGCGGTTCCCATTAGAGAAAGACGTCACGGCGGGCTGAGCCTTTGACTCTTCTCTGTGGCCCAGCAGTAATGCCAGCCACCGTGCGGGCTTGTGTCGGGGCCTCCAACTTGACAAAGTCCGAAGTCTCGTTCGCCGTATCTGCACATCTCAAGGAGACTGACAGGTGAGCCAAACCTTCCATGCCCGCTCTCACAGGCAGGCAAGCCATACCCTTTGGCAGCAGTGCCAGGGACAAGGTGTGCGGGACAGTTAACAGGTAAGAAGCTCCTACACCAGATGAAATGGGCCAAATTAACTGCGAGCTGTCTGCCAAATCCGCAGAGAGAAGGGCCAAGCCTAGCTTGCATCTGGACAAGAGGAGAGCCATCTTTGATCTGTTTTCTGTAGTTTCATTAAAATCGTTGCAGAACCCAACATGCCGATGTGAAGCCCCATCCAGCTCTGGAGTCCAAGTACCAAACAGCCAGGGGACAGGTTTTTGTCACCACGACATGAGGCACCACCTGACAGACTGTGGGAAGGTCCCCTGATGGCTGGCGAGAGCCAACAGAATCCGCCTGACTGGAAACTCCCCCTTCTGCTGACACATAGGCGGGGCCTCTGGGCCTGGAAATGGGGCCACCTCGGTCCCCGGGGCCACAGAGGGCTCGGCCTGGCAGCGGTGGTGGACATGTCCGAGGGCTCTGCCCTAACGATTCGGGTGGCCACTCTCCATGACTGCACCGGGGCACCTCTCAGGTCTCGCATGCCAGGGCCTCCCTGCCCCCTTCCTCCTTCTCTTCTGCCCGCCATCCCCATGGCCTTGGCCATGATCCGCACCCCCCGCCGCAGCCGCCGTGTGTCCTTCTGCCCAGTGCCCGCTGTTCTGGGGTGGTCGGGGTCACCATCCTTCTCCTTTCCAGCCTCTCACCTCCGAAACCATGGCCCTGGTACTCACAGCGGGGAAAATGAGGCCTGTACCATCTCGACACAGAGCACAACAGTCATGGACCCGCGGGCGCAGCCCAGGCAGACCCCGTCCAGGCCCCTGTGTGCTTGACCCGCAGCCCCCGGAGGGCCATGGTGCCAACGGTCCACTAGGAGCCGCAGGCCCCCGATGCGGGCGGCGGCAGCAGCGGCAGGATGGTTCCCTGCGCCACTTCCAGCTGACGCAAAGCCCGGCGAGCTCAGGCCCTGGCTCCAGGGTTTGCTGTAAGAGCCCTACTCTCTTCCCCCTAAACTCCCGCCTCCACCGCCAAAACCCTGAAACACTCGGTGTCCCAGGACGTCGAGCTTTTAGTGCGAAAACCTGATGGGTGGTCAGCCTAATAAGAAGCAGGGGTCACAGGGGTGCCGGCTGCCCAGGAGAGGGACAGGGATGGTGGAGCAAGGGTGAAGGAGTGGGGTTCCCAGGCTTCCTGGTCAAAATGATGTTCGGGTTCAGTCCCTCACCGCACCCAGGAGGCCTCCAGAGACGCTCACTTCGGAGGCTGCTAGAGGACTGAACACGTGCAGTGTGCAGCACGGGGCAGCCCCCCGATGGGTGTTTTAGCCCTGTGGGGATTCAGATGTCACATCAGGACCCCAAACCCACAAAACCAAACGAAGCACCTCAACAGGCCAGAATAACTGGGGGGCCCCAAGCCCATCCTCCGGCTCTGCAGTGCAGACCATTCTTTCTGTCCCCCCGCAGTCTCCTTTCCAGACACGCTCCGGGAGCCAAGGCCAGCGTGATTCACCTCCCCCGCCTGGTGCAGAAGGGCTCTGTGCCACGGTGAGTCAGACCAGCCTTCTCCTCAGGGAGCTCCCAGCTGGGAGACGGAGACAGGCCACAGCTGCAGAGTCAAAGGGCCACTGGGCACAGGACAGAGGACATGGAGGGGGTGGGTGAGCAGCAATCAGACAAAGTGGAATTTGAGCTGCGACATCGCTGAGGGTTGGGACCTGGTGAAGCCCAGAGGGAGGGAGTGGCTTCTCAGCCAGGCAATGACAGGAGGAGAGGCCTAGAAGCCGCAAGGTGCAAGGGTCATGGGGCTCCCAAAGGGGCTGGAGGCACAGGGCAGGCGGGTCAGCTGATGGGCTCCAGACCCGGGAGGGTGACAGACTGCCCAGGGCGGCCCAGCCCATCAGCAGGGCAGGGTGGGACCCAGGACCACCCAGAGCTTTTCCTCATGGACACCCTACCAGGAGTGGCAGGCACCCCCACAGTGAGGCCGGGCACCCAACTCTGACTGGACGGGAGGGTATCACGCCATCCCCAGTCTCTCCCAGCTACGAAATGGGAACCGAGTTCCCCAAGAGTTAATCAGTTTTCTGACGGTTTATTTTATTCATCTTTGGTAACAAATGGCTGAAATCAATTAAACTTGCTTTCCCCTCAGCTGATGAAGTTAATTATGATTTGTTATGGTATCTGATATGTAAATTATTAGAAAGCGGACTTACGTTGGACCGGCTGCCTCCAGGCGGCACTGGATTAATCATTGTGTAGATGTTGTCACTGGAATTTGTTGAATCTGTAGAACAGTGGAAACCCACAAGTCGCGGTGATTAATTCATTTCTTAATTAAAACAAACTCGTGGCACTTGAACTCATTCTTTTGTATTTTATCACCTAAAATCTCCTCTAAGTACCACCATTTTCTGGCTAATTTGTATTTAATGAAGATTCACAAAGTTTTTAATCACAGAAAATTCAACTGTGAAAACCACTCAACCCTGAAACGAAGAATTCCAGGATGCCTGTCTGGACAGCAGCGTGAATGTGGCAAAGGCGGGGCGGCAGGTCTGCATTCTCATCTCCCCACCCCAAACCCAATCTGGTCCCCAGACACTGCTGGGGACCACACGGGGACAGCCACCTGCGCTCTCCTCCCAATCCCGCCCAGCAGCTTTAATCAAATCGGGGAGAGAAACGCCACAAATTACCCAGGGGCCACCTTGCCACGCTGATGGGGCAGGAGGGAGAGGCAAGGATGGGGCTGGAGACGCATCACCATATGGAGTGGTTTAATGTGACCCAGTCTGAATGTAGGTCACGCAGCTCATCAAAATGCAGCAGCAGAAAAAGGGAGCAGGAGTGGGAGCCAGAACATCACAGCCGCCAGCTCCGCCACTGCAGCCGAACGGCTCCCCTGCTACTGGGGGCCGAGGAGTCTGGGGACAGAGGGACCCCTCCATCTCCCCCAATTAAGTGGCAAAGTCTCCTTAGAAAATCAGCTAACACGTTTCTATCAGGAACAGGCCCCCCATTGCTCGGGCAGAAATCCAGCTACCTCCCCCTTCTTATTCTCTGGGTAGGTAACGACTATGGCAGAATTCCTTCTAGATGGTAGTGTGTTAGTCTCAGCTGGAAGAGAAACACAAAACGTGATGCTCTGTGTGTATGCATGTGTGTGCATGCCCGCAGGTGCTCACGCATGCCCTCTTCCGATCCAGGAAAGAGAGAGAAGCGATCTCCTATAGAGAGGACCAGAAGCCAAGAGCACTGGGAACTTGAGGCATCATGTTACATGGTCCTGGTCCCAGGATGCCAGAATTCCAAAGCCCCTTTTTAGTCACCTAGAGATAGGCACAGCCAGGACAGGTGCTCACCAACTGGTGTGAGCTGAGGACAGCGAGACCCCTCGTTCCTGGATCTCCCCACTCTGCCCCATCCTTGAACCAGAGAGGAGTAGCCTAGCTGAGGCCACAGGGCAGGTGAGTGGCACAAGGGGCCTCCATCCCCTAAATCCCTGCCATTAAGATACCTGGTAGGGTAAATGCTGCTCAGGAGGCATGGCTGGTAAGCTTTGGGCGTGAACTTGGGCCCCTTCAGGACCCCTTGCTCCCGCAATGGCACCCTCTCCCCAAGCCTTCTTACCTGCAGGACTAGGCATGATGGGTGTTCCTGGGGGACCACCACCGCCAGGAGGTCCCTGGAAATGAGATTTAAAATGGCCATCAAAAACCCATGGCAATGATACAGGTGGGGAGAAGCCACTGAACTCCAGTGACATCAAAGACAAGGGCTCACGCAGGGCCCGGCCCAGTATTCAGTTCTTTATCGATAAAGCTCAAGGAGAGCCCGAGTGCTTAAGCCTTGGGGGGGCTGGACTTGGGCTCCCCCCACCCGATACCCACCCCAGTCCTTTCTTCAAACCCAGAGGCAGCCGTGCGTGTGCATGCGTACACAAACACACACCAGTGGGTGGAACCAGATGCCTGTGGTAGAAACCAGCTGGGCCACTGATCAGCCCCCAAGATGGGGACCCAACTCTAGGTCTTGTTGGGGGAACTTTCAGGCCACCGGAAGGTACAGAAACCTGAATAGCGATAGTAGGTCCTAGCACAGTTTGGAACATGTGCTATGAATGTGTTTTGAAGGGGAAAGAGACGGGGACCCTGGGAGAAGATCTTATGCATATCAGTCATGTGTGGTCAGACATGCAGTGCCCTACCCCCACACTTACCACATAGGTACCAGGTGATGAGGAGGAATATGGGATCTAGAAACAAGAGGTGGGGGAACCATGATCTGAGTCACTTCCTCAAATACTCAGGTGCCCTTGGGCTCCCCAGTCCACCCAGAGACGCACCCCATCTTGTGGGGAGAGGCGGTGGGCCTCCCTGGTTAGTCTCCCTTGGGGGACCAGCTGTGTGAACAAAGCTCGGTTCCCACACTGAACTGATCCTGAGAGCCCTGGCAGGGAGCTGGCAGGGAGCTGGCAGGGGGCGCGGACATGGGAGAGCCTCCCGTTCTGGACGGGAAAGTGAGAGCTTCTCCCCAGACCCCTGGCCTTCTGTGTGGTGCCCTCTCCCAGCTCTGCCCTCTGAGTGCAGGCAGCCAGCCCTGTCAGGGAAGAGGATCACCAGGGGACAGCGCTCTCTAAGCAAGCCCTCAGCTCACCCGTCAGGGCTCCTGCAGAGCAGCAGGCTGGGCTGGGCCCGAACCCTGGAAGGCCCCAGCGTGGTCCTCCCACACCTCCACTTAACAGCGGCACTCCTCCCTGCAGCACTGGGGGATGGGGGTGGGGGAGTCTTGCTCCATCCCCGCCTCTGATGACACCTCTGACCTGGGGCCAGACTACCCCAGACCCCAGAAGCCCCTCCCTGGCACACACCATCCCATCCCACCTGGGTACTCACTGAGTTAGCACTGTTAGGATTTGGCCAGGGTCTGCCAGCTCCCGGGCCCCTGAGAGAGGGAGAGAGAGAAAATTATGACAATGAACAAGGTCTTATCAAGCCCATGGGGGTAGTGCCAGCAGGGACAGAACGAGCGGGCTGACATCACTAACAGGAGGTCCTCTACACGGGCCTAGGGTCTTACGCACCACCTGGCTCTCGGGGTGCAATGGGCAGCTCCGTGGGTGGAAGCCTACAAGCTTCTATGAATGACACAGAAAATGTGTAGCGTATCTAAGATTTCCTGTGCGTGCGCATTTTCCCAGGAAGGGAGCGCACAGATTCTCACGGGGCTCTCTCCCTGCAAGGTGGGGGGGAGGGTTAAGGACTAAAGCAGTTGGTGGTCACCGGTACAGTACAGGGGTTCAAATCTCGACCGTCCCTTAGAGTCGTGTGAGCCTGGGCAAGTTATATCACCTCTCTGGGCCTCAGTTTCCCCCGTCTGTAAGTGGAGGGTGCTGATAACCACCAGCTCCCGGGGTTGTTCGGAAGAGTGGGTGGGCAGGGCCGCAGTAGGCTCCAAGCCACACCGAGTGCAGACACGCAGCAGTACGGCCAACAAGCCCACACCACTGCTAAGGGACTGAGGGCCAGAGAGGTGCCCTGCATGCCCCTGTCCACCAGTGTCTTGGGGGTGCCAGAGGGTGGGTGAGCCTCGGGCTCTGAGCCAACAGCAGGGTCAGCTGTGCCTTACATGTTAATCCCGGGCATGGCGGGGCCGAGGGAGTTGGGCGGTGGTCTCATGCCGCTGCCGTAATTCTGCAACGATAACCAAGGGTCAGTCTATGAGAAGGAGAAGGGGAACCGGAGGGAGGAGAGGGGGAGGAAAGACAAACAGAATATAAGCAAGAGGATTAGTCTGTGGAAAGGATCTGATGAGGAAAAAAACAATGTATTTGTTAAAAAAAGGTGAGGGGGTGGGGACCACGTGATGGGACCACAATGACAAGCCAGCACAGAGGGAGGCTTCGGGATGGTTCTCTCAAAAGCGTGGGGATGTCCGGCAAGCCCTCACATCTCAGGTCTGGGGGTGGGGGACGGAATGGACTTGTAACAGAACTGACTGGGGAATACTGCCCAGCTCAGAAATTCTGGGCCTGGGGGTGGTGGCTGGGTCTGAATGTGGAAGGGGAAGGAATCCTGAAAGGCCTGGCCGGTGGCTGTCCCCACGGTCCAGGACATAGAGACACTGCCCCCCACCCTTGGTTTGTCCCCCAACCCCTGGATCAGGCTGCCTGATTCAGGGGTCAGCCTATGGGGCCCTTGAAATACACGGTGCTGGAGAAGCAGGAAGAAACGCTCGAGGTGGGAGGGGTCACCAATTATGTTTGAGGAAAGAGTCCCTCCTCAGCTCAGTACAAACCCCCAAGGCAGACTGTGGTGAGTGATGAGAGTGCCGGGATCAAGAACCTCTAGTCACGGCCACCCTGACTCCCCACTTTCAGTGCTATTTTCTTTGCTGAAGAAATGCCTTGCTTCCTTTCTCCACTTGGGCTCCTACACATCTTCCAGAACCAGCCTGAAGAGCACCTCCTCGGTAAAGCCTTCCCTGGACATCTCTTGGGGTTAACTGCTCACCCCCATAATGTGCGGCAATCCCCTGACCCCTGCCACACCGGGCTATGATCCTGGCCACGTGTCTCTCCCACTGGGCTCTGAGTACCTGCTGAAGGTGGGGGTTGTATCTGAATGAGCTCCGTGCATGCGTCACCCCCACACCAGCCGTCACAGACTCGGTGCTGAACCAATGAAGGAGTGAATAAGTAAAGGGATAGAGAGAAAGATTAGCCTGGTTGACGCTTGAAGCTCTGCCTTTGTAGTATCTGAACGAAGTAATATTGGTGGAAATTTGATGGCAGCAGCTGAGCACATAACACATTTTACACAGTCTCTGGCTTGTCCTTAGAATAAACAACACCCCGAAGCTAGCATTGCTCCCATTTTAGAGAACAGGAGACCAAGGATCTGAGGGGAGAAAGATCTGTCCAATGTCAGTAAGCCAGTGACTCAGCTGGGGTTTAAAGGCGGATCCGCAAGCCTCTGGGTCAGCACTGTCCCCACCACGCATCTGGTGACAACTCAGAGCCAACGTCACGCTGGTGGTGGTCTCTTCAGCCAAGGTCAGGCTCCTGAACCTCATAGCCGTGGGCCCACCTCCTCTGCCTGGTCCACCTGACAGCGGCTCGGAGTCTGAAAGAGTAGAGCCACAGCGCGGAGATAGTAACGGGAACGGCCTGGGGCTGACTGGCAGGGAGCGAGCGCTGGGGTTGAGGAGGCAGAGTGGGTGGCCACAGAGGGACCCCATGCAGGAGCCGGGCCCTCTCAATCCACGGTGGCACAGGCTGGCAGGCGGAGCCACAGACGTGAGGTCAGAGCCCAGGAGGGCTAGCCCCGGCTCGGCGCACGTATGCGATCACAGCCCCATTGAGGTCCCCGCCTGAAAGATGAAAATGCTGAGGGGCAGAGAGCCCCCAGCCCTACAGGCCCGTGAGGATCAAATGGAACGACGGCTTTGAAGTGCTCTGTTAGCTCTCCGAGGTGTGCTCTGATTTGGGATGTTAGCAGCAGAACGAACACCAAAGCCCTTAATGCTGTCTTAAGCATCACAGAACCTCGGGTCTTCAAGGGTCCTCCTAAGCCCCACGTGCAGCGACTAAACCCTCCACAAACTTCGGCCTCACTTCTGCCGCTTCAGGACAGGGATCCTGCCCCCTCCCCAGGCAGCCCACTCTCCCACGGTAGAAAGACACCCCTCCCAGGGCCTCCGGCCGCAGCCTGCTGTCTCTCCTGCCCACCGAGGAGCAAGAGGAAGGCCAGCCTGGGGGCTGGTGGAGCTTGGGCTGCTGCAGCACACAGACAGGGCGACAGGGGATGACAAGCCAGAGGCTCGCTCCTGGAACACACCCGCCCGTGCAGTGTACTGCCCCCTCGGAGGCTCTGGGGCACCAGTAGCTGTTCCCACTTCGATCTCACCTTCCAGAGTCTCCCTAATAGCAGCACGGCTGCTTCCCGAGAGGGAGGCTGCCCACCAGGTCCTCCCTGCCAGAGGCACAGACCCTGGAGGGCCACGTATGCCCTCCCGATGCAAAGACAGTAGGCTAGAGGGCTGGAGGGACCACAGATTTGCCCAGGGGTGCATGCTAAGTCAGGGGTGAAAGGAGAGCTGAATGTCAACTTTGGGGGGAAGTTCTCAAAGCACAAACAGCAGCCTTTTCAGAGAGGGCTTGGAAGCATGGTTTCAGACACTCCACGGAAATGGTTCTCTTCCCTCCGTGTCCGCCTGTCCATAGCGCCGGACAGCAAGGTGACCACCAGCCAGATGCCCCCCAACTCCTCCGCCATCTGCATGGCTCTTCAGTGACAGGGGCAGCTAGACGCACGAGGGGAGGGACCCCTGGTGCGACATGGGGCTGGCCACGTTCATGGCATGGCGGTGGTCCCTGACTTCCCACCCCACCCCCTTGTCACCACTCGGGCACCCCGGACCCTGGGCAGAGGGGTCTGGCCAGCTGTCGGGAATAATGAAGGGCCCCCTGCTGGGGACTGTGGCTGGACACAGGAAAGTGCCGGGCAGCTGGCAGTTGCTGGAGCCTGCTCCTGCTCCCTGCAGCTCCCAGTCCGAGGGGCTCCTCCTTCTTGGGGCTGCCCACAGCCCTCCCAGCACTATCTTCAAAGTAGGGAAAGAATATTCTAGTCTTTCGGACGCACCGTCTGGGCAGCTTCCTGGGCAGCACGGTCCTGTCCTCCATTTCCCACATCATGTGGGGCCTAGGGGCCTCTATGGGGCCCCCTGGTAAAGTGCTTTAGGGGCCCCAATTTCTCCCCACCCAGCCCCCAGCTGCTCTGGCCAGGTTTATGATCCTTCCTCTATTGCTGGGGCTGCTGCTCAGAAGCCACAAGTAGGAACCAAGAAAGAGCTGGGCTGTCCTGGACCAACAGAGAGACGTGATTTCTTTCAGGTGGCATAAGGAGTGGTCCTAGAGATCAGGGTTTATCCTTTACGCGAACTTTCTCAAACACGGACAAGCTAAGATGGCGATCTGATGCCCGCCTGCGCAGACTCCATCCCCGGCTGAATAGCAGAACCGCTGGTCATCGGCACCCAGGGATCTACGGGCCACAGCATCTCAGAGGGGGCCCGCGGTTCCATCCACAGGAGCAGAAGCATGTGCAGTTCTAGCTTCCCCCCAACGGGACTCCCTTCTGAAAAACTTAGCCAAAACACTCCTATCAGACACTGACACAATTCTTCAAAGAAAGACTGTAACTAAGTGGGTATGTATTACCTCCTTTTTGGCACAGGCCATTGCACCAAACCAGAGTAAAATCTGTCTGAGACACTCGGGGAAAAGGGCAATGCTTGGTCTGCTAGGTCCGTTGTGACATTTAGGCTAAAACCCAACACAGGCTCAGAAAGGGCAAATATCATTCCGTCTGGCTTTGAAATCTATAAAGCAGCCCCAAGACTACACTGTAGCTCTTCTTTGTTCGGAAAGCCGGAGTCGTCACTGGCAATTAGCAATCTTACTCCCTACTTGGACTAATAGGTTGATGGTTTTCCCACCTTTGTGCCTGCTCTCATCATGGCACTGTGTATACAGTGGTGCTTACCAAGGCTGCCCAAAGGGGCTGGCCTCCTCTTCTAAGAGCCCAGGCTGTGGCAGAGATAGCACTGCCTGCTCTGCCCCCTTGAGCCAGTGTTCTGGGGAAGGAGTGGGGTCTGTGGAACACCCTGCAGGCAGCTCATGCTGTTCCTACCAGGCCTATGGTGGACCCTGTCAGGTGATCGCCTGGCTGCCCATTTTGCAGATGAGGGACTAGAGGCCCAACAAGTCCTGGGCTGAGCTGCGGCTGCAGCCCTGTTTTCCAGCACTAAGCTCTGAGTTCATCCCTCTCCTGTCCATTAGGAGTGAGCAAGAGTACACCAATGGGGACAGACAGAAAGGCCTGGGAGCAGGAGGTAGGGAGGTCCTACCCTCAGCCTTGTGGTCCAAACTTCTAGGCTCTGTTGTACCTGTTCCTGGCTGACCCCAAAACCTGCCCCACACCAGGCCAGCCCCTTCTGTCCCCAGTGAGGAGTAGGGGCAGACATTCTGGGTTGTTCTAAGGGAGATTTAGCCCTGGAATTTAAGATTGCACTCTACCCGGATGGGTACAGGAGACACGGGCAAAGCACTTTAGAGTCTCTCTGTCAATACAATGAAGTCAAATAAAGAACAAGGGAGACATTTCCAGAGCCCCTGAGGTTGGTGGAGGTGGGATGAGTGAACTGGCCTCATCCCTGGGCTGGTTTCTCCAACCCCTCTGGGTCACCCCTCCCAGGGCCTACAGGAGAGCTCTGCCCTTGCACACCGCTTGGCTGGATACAAGAGGCCTTGTCTGGTAAGACCTCAGCCTTTAGGAGCCTCCCCTCTTTAAAGCATGCCATAAGAGTATGCCGGACTGCTGGTTGGGGATTCTGACGGGAGGAGACACCTGCTAAGCCAAGACGAAGTCCTACACTTAGAGAGTATTCTGCTCTCGGTCAGTCTGCTGCCATCCATTCCCAGCTCCCAGAACCTCAGGATTACTACAGGCTTAATGAACTGCTAACGTAGGGCCTTGGCCAGGAAAAATTTTAAAAACCAAAAGCACACCCCGCTCAAGGCAATCATCAAACACAGGCAATGAGAGTCCTGAACGACTGAATGGAAGCCCCCCACTGGAAGACATACATTGCTCACGAGGAGAACCTGATGCCAAGCGTCAGGCCGAGAACTTGAGACTCCCCTCGCGCACTCCTACATGGCCAGTGCTGGTCTCCTGCCCATTTTACAGATGCGGCTGCTAAGCCTCCAAGTACCCAGAGGGGCGGGCGGGGGCCTTCCCACTCCAACCTCTGGCGCCCCCAAAGTCCCCAGGACTTTGTGGAAGTCCAAGGTCACTGCTTATCCGCCCCAAGAGTCTCTCTGAAGTGCAGCTGGGGAACCTACAGGTTCCCCACTCAGGGGAGGCAACACTCTGCTTCAGACCCCGCGGCCCCTCCCACAAGTTCCTCAGTGGAGCCACCCAGCTGGGGTCCACTCGAGACAGCCACACGGCTGGAAGGGGCCGCTCTGGGGGCTCAAAAGGAACTGGTGAAAACACAAGTCCTGGGGATTTCAGGAAAGAAAACAAACAAACAAGAAAACCAGAGCTGGAACTGGCGTGCGCTTGCTTCACTGTAGGATAACGGGGCCAAGAGCAGACAAGGACCTCCCTAAAATCCTTCAGCGCCACAGATGTTTGCAGCCCCACCGAGAAGAAGGCAGTGGGCGGGGGGGTGCTGTAAACACAGCTCCAGACGGAGCGGAGGACTCTGGGTGTGGGCGGACCCCTCTCCCTCCCAGCGGGACACGTGTCTGGGAGCCTGGGAGCGAGAGCACTCCTCCTCCTCCCTGAGGGAACCGGAAACCCAGGGAAGGGCCCAGAGAGTGCAAACATCTGCACACTGAGTTAGGGGGGATGGACCCCCCGATGACAAGCAGGCTTCCAGGCAGGGCAGAAAAGGGAAGGAACACCCTACAGCAAAACCCTCCCGATCTCACTAAATGAAATTCCCTTCTCCTTATTTAGACTTGCAGCTTCTTTTAGCTAGTCAGATCAGCAAACCCTCTGCCACAGCTACTAGAGGAAAACAAGGCCACATTCAAATACTCTGGAGGGTGGGAAGCAACTGTGAGAAAGCTCGAGAATAGGAACGGCCTGTCAGACCCCTGCCAGGTGGTCCTGTGAGAGCCAGCCTGTACCTGCGGGGCCTGGAGCTGGGTCACAAGGACTGACCGCTGTGCCATAACTGCAAAGAGGTGGGCAGGGCACTTCTCCCAGAAGATTTCCGAGGGATCCTTCTTGACAATGGAACCTCTCTGGTCAGAAGAAATCTTAGCTTGGGGGCGCCTGGGTGGCTCAGTGGGTTGGGGCCTCTGCCTTCGGCTTGGGTCATGATCCCAGGGTCCTGGGATCGAGCCCCGCATCGGGCTCTCTGCTCAGCGGAGAGCCTGCTTCCTCCTCTCTCTCTGCCTCTCTGCCTACTTGTGATCTCTCTCTGTCAAAAAAAAATAAATAAAATCTTTAAAAAAAAAAAAAAAGAAGAAGAAGAAGAAGAAGAAATCTTAGCTTGGAGCCAGGGCCAAGAAACCGGCTGAGGCTCTGGGTTGAAGGGGGTTTTAGGGTTCCTGGCCAGCCTGGCCTCCTCTCCCTGGGGTGGCATCACTGAGAACCACGGGTGTAGACACACTCCTCATCCCCTCATGTCAAACAGGGAAACCAAGGCCTAATAGGGCCCACCAAGGTCCAAAGGTTCACCCAAGGACAGACAAATGGTGAGTCGCAGGCAGAGCTAGGACTGCCCCTTGTTCATCCCGCCTTTGGGTCACAACAAATTGGGACCCCAAGCCAGTTCAAGTCCACTACCCAGGAGGCTTTGGGATTCCCAGAGAACCCACACCACTGCTCAGGCACCAGACCCTCCACCTCCCAAAGTCTTCAAAACCCTCCCATGGCAGGATCTGGCGACACCTGGCTGCCCCGCTCCCCCAGCTTCCTGGAAGGCCCCTTAATCTGGCCTGCCGCCTACCAAGGGGGGCTGCTCCTGGCTGTGTGGGGGACCAGCCCAGCCGTGGGCAGAGCAGGCAGCTGGGGACTGGGCCATGTTCTCTCCCCTCACCCCTGCGAGCTGAGTGACATGAACGACTGACAGACTGTGGAAGGAGGAAAGTAGGCAGGTGCACACAGATGGACAGGGAGATGGACAGACAGACAGGGGGTTACCTGTGGGCCGGGCCCCATGGGCCCCATGCCTCGGGGAGGGTTCATTCTTTGCATTGATCCTCCCATGTTGGGGTGCCCTGCATGAGAGAGTAGGGGAGCTGTGAGGCGGGGAGTGGGGGCAGACAGCACAGACTCCCCATGCAGCGGGTGGCCCTGCCCTGCCCTCTACCTTGTTGTCGGGTGGGATCCATGGAATTGGGCAGCAGCGGCTGGGTCCCAGGAACTCCTCCCGGAGGCTGAAAGAGACATGAGAGCCACGCTGAGTGGCTGGGGGTTGGAGAGAGATGCGCCTGCCTGGCCTAGCCCACCGCCACCCTCCTGGGGCCCCTCACATGGACCCCCGACCCGCTGGCTGGGGTTGGAGGGAAGGGCCCCAGAAGCAGCAGGCAGTGGGACAGGAAGCATCACACACCCCGCTCTCTCCACGGGTCTGTGCTCCCAGAGCCTGGGCTCATCCTGGCCTCGCCCCAGCCACACACCCCTCAGCGGCAGCACGCCCCCCACACTCCCCTCCCGAACGCTGGCCCCAGCGGTTTAAGCCATACCCCGTCTTTCCTTCACCTATGGAGATGTAACTCACCTTATCCCCTCCCCTAAAGTGTGGGGACCAGGAGACCCCCCCCCCAGCTAAAAATCCTATCACTACACAGGGATCTTTGTACAGGGGAGCAGGTGGCCTTTGAGGTCTGGATGGGGAAACTGAAGTCCAGAGGCTCAAAGGCCCCCAGTCACCTACTAACAGAACCAGGATGAGCGCTCAGAGTCCCCAACTCCCTGTCTTCGTCCTCCACATGAAATGCCCCCTTCCGGCCCCAGGGGTGAAGAAGAGGCCTCCCAGAGAGGGGCGAGCAGGAGACTGAAGGAGAAGCTGCCCCCCGAGAGCCTGCTCCAAGTGGCAGGTGCTGGTGTGGCTACTGCGAAGAAGGGGAGGACAGGGTGCCAAGGGCTTCCCAAGTGGACGCCTGGCACACTCACGGTGGGGACCTGCTAAAACTGACTGACTTGGGACAGAAGCGATTTCAGCAGCAATCGGGAAGAAAAGGAAAAAACAAGCAGCAGAGCTGGAGGGGAAGTGTGTGCTACTGGAACCCTGTGCCTCAGGACTTAAACACAGGCCCTTGCCTTTGAGAGGGAAAGCTTCTGGGAAAGCGGACCACCTGTTCCCTCTGCAGACGCCAGCGCTTCTCAGAGGCTGGGCCCCTGGGACTGGGACAGCCGCCCCCTCCGTCCCCGCCCCCCCGGTCCTGAGCATGGCCGGGGGGGATGGCCCAGTGGGGACCTCCAAACCAGCTGTAGAACGGGGTGGTGGTAAGCAGAGAGACTAGTTCTCAGTGCTGTTCCGAGCTCCAGAATGGGCTGTGTGTGTGTGTGTGTGTGTGTGTGTGTGTGTCCAGTGCACGGGGGTACTCATGGGAGGCCACGCAAACCTGGAAGGACCTGCTGTCCTCTAGCTCACAGTCTGTCTCTCTAGCCCCCGGTCTTAGCTCTTCCGACCTCTCGATTTCTCCCAGCCCTGCTTCCTCTCCCCAAGGTCCCCAGCTGTGAATCACTTGACCGGTTTGGGTCTGCCCACTTGTGGGTTTGGGGTATTTCTAGACCCCAGTTATAGGGGCCTGAGAGGACCAAGGCAGGCCTGCCTCAGAGGCTGTCTGGTCTGGGGGACCCCAGGATGTCAAGGTGGACAGGGGACCATCCAGGTCACAGACTGTCCCCACCTATGACCCTGACGGAGCAGCCGTGGCAGCCGGGCAATCACTCCCCCTCCAGGTAGCCCAGCGAGGACATGGACAGACCTCAAGGGGAGCTCCTCCTTGGGGTCCCCGCACTCTGCTGTGTCAGGACCCGGGAGCAGAGCAGGGCTGCCTGGAGGCTCAGCGGGAGTCTGGGAATCACTTCCCTCTGGCCCTCACTGGGGTGACCCGGCACTGGGGACAGGGCCGCCTCGGCCTCCTCTACGAGAGAAGGCAGATGTGCTGTGACCGAGATAACGGGTCTCACACAGAGGAGGCCGAGGCCTTCCAATGTAAGGAAGAAGCAAAAGCACAGCTCATACATGGAGCTAAAAGTGCTGGCTGTGTCGCTCCCGGAGCCTGCGAGGGAAGCGATGCTCTGGGGCCATCCCTCGGGCTCTGGGAAGTAGGCCAGCAGCTCTCCTGCAGCACTGTGGGGCTGGTGCAGGAAGCGTCTGCCCAGGGAGTGGCCAAATCCCAGCAGCGTCTGCACGGTCACCCGGCTGCCTGCCCCCGTCAGCCACGGGCCAGCGGGGACTCCTCTGGAACGGGGACGGGAGGGCTGCCTGAGAAACCCGGGTGCCGGTCCTCCTCTTCTCAGCCCCGCTGATCCCCATTGTTCCCCACCCATCCGACTCTTGCTGGAATAACAGCAATGCTTTCACTTCTATATATGGCCCCAAACCTGTCACCAGGGAGGCAGGTGGGAGGACAGCCTTGTAAAGCTCAGAGGACACGTCAACAGTCCTTAGCTTTTTGTCCCCCACCCAGTGCCCTTCCCACTGCCCTACCACAGGTGGTCCCATGAGCCTCAGCTAGGCCTGAGTGCACTGGGGTGGCCGAGGGTTCTGTTCCACCGCCAACTGAGGCACTCTCCGCCCGCCCCCCCCACCCAGGTGCAACACCCCTGAGAGGGGCACATCCCTCCCTGGAGGGCAAAGACTTCTTGAGTCCACAGCAAATTGGAAATTGGTATAGATTTCCAAATGTGGGGTGGGGGGGGGCAGTTGGCGGGAAGGTTCCGACTGTTTTGTAAGGTGAGGTGCAGAGGACAGATTATTCTCTGTTTGCTCTCTAAGGCGCTGGCTCATGCTTAATTGATAAACAGGAACATACATGTTTCCTCTTGTGTCCCCTAATTGCTGGAGAAAAGGCCACAGTGATGATAAGAAAGCATCTGTTCCCTCCATGGGGAGGAGTCCAGTTCGGGCCAAGGAGAGCCCCTGGATGCACCGGGCAGGGGGAGAAGGTGCTGTGGGGGCCCACGCCTGCAACGGCAGAGGCCACCCTTGCGGTGGCTGGGCCAGCACATTCACAACTCTGAACGCTGGTGAGGGGCCAAGGAACGGTGCTGCGCTGGGAGCTGCAGACGCACTTGACCTGGCTTCCTGCAGGACTCCGGGAAGCCACTCCTCCACTCTGACCTGCTTCCTCCTCTGGGACATACCCAAGGGTCCCTCCTTGTTCAAAAAGCTGGGTGTCTGATTCTTATCTACCTCTCTCCCTCATGTCAGAGAAAGAGAAAACAAAAGACTTTTGGGGGTGGAAAAAAAACAAAACAAAACTGGAAACCTGACAGGCAATTTAACAGTACAATCTGGTGGCCCCAGACTACGACGGTCTCGCCTTAGGCCCTGCAGCTCAGCACCTGGAGGGAGGCCTTCCTTGCAGTGCTGCGGGAACAGAAACAAGGCCACTCCGGCTGCTAAGAGAACTCCCAAGCTCCAGAGGCAGCAGGGGCTAGAGGCGCTGGTGATGCAGTCACATCTTTTGAAGGGTTTCTGCAAGGTCACTCGAAGAATTTTATGTAAAAAAATACTTCAGCATGAAAAGAAACCTCCCTAACATTTCTTTTTAAGTTTCTTTTAACTGTCGATCCTCAAAAGATATTTTATCTTTACCTCTCCAGCTCCCCTCCCGCCCCCGGGTGGGCTGAACTAGGGATGGCGGCGCGGGGGCCGATTTCTCCAGACCACCTAAGAACTGCCAACCCTCATGGGCCAGCATAAGGCACACAACCCCAGGCCGAGAAGCCCTCCCCATAAGCAGACCACTTTCCTAATTACACGAACAAATCCTTTCTTGTTTTGAGTTGGGTCTGGGAAACAGGCAGACATTGCTTAGAAACTCACAAGCGTCCTGCTCCGCTGCATCCAGGCTCCTGATCTAAGCATTCCTACGGGCCATTTCTCCCCTTAATAGCAGGATTATATTTACCAGCCTTGGCAATTCTCAAAAGCTTCCAGGAAAAAAAATGCACGTTGTCAATTAACTTCATTAAGGAGGAAGACCCTTTTCCAAGAAGGGCCTGGAAGGGAGGGGGCAGGGGCATTACCACCTTCCCTAGACTAGCTGAAACCCTGCATTCCCACTGGGGCTGCTTCTGCTGCTGCCCTCTGGGCTCCAGGAACCACCAGGGTCTGCTCTGCCGCCCAGAGCCCACCAGGAGAGGTAGAGGCAATGCTGGGAGAGGGGCTGTACCGTGAACACAGAGCAGACAAAGGGCCCTCCTCGGGGACCGGCCTGTAAGCTACCTCCAGCACTCAAACCTGTCCCTCCACCTCCAAATCCTTTCCCCAAGTTTGGACTGGCGTCACAGTCCAGCGGGGGCCAAGGGTGGCTGGGTGAGGGGAGAGAGAACATGAAAAGGTACAGTACCTGGTTTCCCATTCTGATCGGGGGCCTGGGGCCGCCTGCGTAGCGCGGTGACATAAAAGGCTGCAATTACAGGGAAGTAGTTCAGTGACAGCCTGCACTCCTGCCCAGGGACAAACACGACTGTGCTCCAAGCCACCAAGTCCAGTTTTGTTACAACCAGCCATCTTTCCAACTCTCTTTCTCCCAGTGGCCTCTTCCCTCTGGGCACAACTTCCTCTGGGTGGAGGGAACAACAGAGGCGCCCGGCACGGGCGGCTCCTGACTCCGCGTGTGCCCATGGACATCTACTCTGGGTGGCCGGAGAGCGCGGCTGGGCCTGGGCAGGGGGCGCGGAGGGAGGAGCCGTTACAGTGGTGCGGGGCCAAGGAAGAGATCTCTGCTCTCAGGAAGGGAAAATCGCGACTCAGAAGGGGACTCATACACAAAATGTTCCGGGTGTGCGGACAGAGCTGGACACACACGCGCGTGCGCGCACACACACACAGAAACCACTGACACAGGGGATGCGGAAGGGGAGCAAGGATTTGGGGTGGGGGGACACAATGAGAACGGTAAGGGGCCAGCGGGCTCCCTGACTTGTGCGGGGCGATGGGCAGGAGTAGCGAGAGTGCACACAGAGAAAGGCTAGGGATGCAGCTTTGGTTACGAACAAATGGTTAACCAAACTCAAAAAACCAAACCAAAAGTGAGAGAGGAAAAAACAAAAACATAAAGGCCGCTGACAAGGTCACAGAAATATATTTGCTTTTCTTTTGGTTTCAGATCCAAGCTGGGTGTGATGTCCAAGGAATGAAGACTGTCTTTGCGGGGGAGGGGGTGAAAATTTTTTCTTTTTAATTTCATTTGTCCATAAAGACTCGAAAGCAATGGCTAGAGCACATTTTTGATTTTTGTTTTTCCTCTGCTGGCTCTGTCCTCCTCGTGCCCCGCGCCCCCCGGCGGGCGGGCGAGCCACAGTGCTTTTTACCTGACTGTGGGGTCCCATCATGCTGCTGGGATTGTGAGGTGGAGGCTGTGCGTGCGGCGAGGGCTGTGACCCCGGAGGACCCTGTGAGGCCAGACAGTAGAGGCAGGTTATAGATCACAGCACATGGAGAAGCGCAGAAGCTTAAAAGAACAAAAATTAAACCAAAACGAAGGGCAGGCGGCGGGCGGGCGTGCGGGCTCTGGCTGGCGGGGTGGTGCGCGGCGGCTTGGGTCGCAGGCTCAACGGTGGGCGCAGAGAGCGGGAGGGAGAGAAGCCGATGAACACACTCACGGGGCGGTTTACGGGGACGGGAAATAAAACCCAGCTCCTTTGCCAAAGCACGCAGGAGTGGGGGGCCCGGGCACCGTCTACGGCTGGAGAGGAGTTTGCCATGTTAAATACGCTGGTTGTGATGGGCTCAGAGAGCACGGCAACACGTAGCAAGGCCCTGGTTTGGGGGAGCTTCCGGTCTGGAGGGGGACACAGACAGGATGCAGGCTCCTGGGCCGCGCTGCTGAGGGGAGGGGGCCTGATGGGTGCACGGGGACAGGAGGAGTCAAGCTGGGCCAGAGATCAAACAAACAAGGGAACAAAAGGACCTACGATTACAGAGAACCCATGCCGTGAACTTTATTGATTCACCTTCATTTTTAAAGGGCCCCATGAAGTGGGGTTTCTCATTCTTTTTACCCATGAGGAAACTGGATCTCAAGGGATGAGGGACCTTGGCCACAGCCATACAACTGGTGGACGGCAAAACCAGGATGAGACGCCTGATGGCCCCGAGGCTCGCCTGGACTCCTGTAGCCCAGAACTCAAGCTGGCATGTGCAGAGGGGCAGGGGGATGGGGCTGGAGGCCCCTGACTGCTGCGTGGGTGGGTGGAGGGCTGGGCTTTCCACTCTAGCCAGCAGTGAGCCACCCACGGTCCCGAGGGGACTCCAGAAGCCCTGGGCTATGCTGACCTTGACTCCCCCCAGAAGAGATGGGTAGGTGAATTCACTCAAACCACAGGATGGGTCAAACTGTGGGTTGCAACCCATTAGTGGATGGTGAAATCAATTTAGTGGGTTGCAACCATTGTTTCCTAAAAACCTGGAACGGAATAAAAAAACAGAATAGAAACTAACAGCTCTGTGTGTATAAAGGCAAATCTTTTCACCCACTTCTTTTCACATTTATACATGTGTGTGTGTGTATACTGGTTCACCACGTCAAACGTATTTCCTACTGCAGGTCAATCAAAAAGCACAAAAGGCCCAACTTGGAAGCTCCTTCCTGCCTTTGGGATGTTCAGAGCTGGACACGGGGGCTGGTGACAAAGAGCTCACCCTAATTCACTCTTCTCTACCCTAGATCATGCCATCATTACTCTCGCAAGTCGCTTTTGAGAAAAGTCCAAAACCTGCACGGGGATGGGGGAGGTTACATTAAAGAGGAAAGGGAGAGAGAATCTTCGAGATGCAGGTAGGATTCTCTTCGTCAGCCTTCTCCCTCAAAGCCAGGCTGCCCAGCCTCCCACCTGCTCAGAAAACACAGTACAGAGCCAGGGCGGGGTGGAGGGGCTGGTACTGGGCGGTGGGCCCAGAGACAGAGAGAAGAGGTGTGCAAGGAAAGACGGCAGGGAGCCGTCCGGGAAGGTGGGGGCGCCGCTGAGGACAGGCCTGGAGTTTCTCCGCCAAGTGAGGGGCTGCTCACTTCCGGAGAGCTCTGTGGAGCAGATGTTCCCCTACCTGCCACGCTACTAATTTCAACAAGTGTGTGTCTTTCTAGCGGCTGCCAGCAACGGCATGGTTTGTTACCATGAGCAATTTTCTTAATTAACAGACATTAATTAGCCATTTAGCAATTTTGCAAGCATTTGTTTAGCGGCTTTCCTAAACATGAATACCACTGTGATAATGGCGCTGATTAGAGGGTCCCCTAATTAACAGTACAGGGAAGGAAAATTGAAATCACATAAATTAAAAAGGGAGGGGAAGCTAATGAAGGCGGGACATATTTGCACCTGCAAGTCTTTTGTACCATGAAACTTGGGTGCAATGTAAACAAAATAAGATAATTCAAAGCCAACCCCCAAAAAAAGAAAAATAAAAAGAACAGAAGAAGAGGGTTCGAGGGTGAGGTCCAGTTGCCAAGAGGGGGCAAAAGGCCTTCTGTTGGTTCCCAGCTCTTGGCAAGAAGGGAGTGCCTCCTCCTTCCAACTCTCGTGGCCCTTCCCTGGTAGGATCCGGAGCTCCTTCGGGGAGAGCGGCGTGTCTCCGGGCAGGTCCCCCACACCTGTGGCCCTGTAAGCCGGGGAGGCAAGCAGCAGCTGACCTGACGGCTAACTGTAGAAAAGGTATGGAAAGAGCCCCAGAGTGTTTGCCACCCACAGGGGACCTCAGCCAGCGGCGGCCCCTGCTTAGGGCCAATGCTCGAAACTGGGTCTGGAAGGCCATTCCAAGCTGTCTCCTGCCCCTAGATTATGGCTGCTTGGGCACCCTGATGTTCAGAGGCCAGGCCAGTACGCGTGCCTCACCTCTCTACCTCCCTCAGAAACTCCCTGCCAGACTCTGGTAACTGGCCCCTGAAGAAGTGGCTATGGCACAAGTTCGCCTCCAAGCAGCCACCTCAACACAGATGGCCAATGAGTAGTAAGGGCCGGGAGCGCACAGCTGGTCTGAGAGGCTCTGGGCTGGTCTGGCAACTTCTCTGGCTGGGAGGGAGAGGTGGCGAGTGGGCTGTGAAGTCTGGGGAGGGAACAGCCTTCTCAGAAGTCTCCCCCATGACTTGGAGCCCAGGTTTGGAACACTGAGGACAAGAGAAAGCTGGCCTAGGCTGGCCGGTTGCCCAGAGAGAAAACCCCACCATGATCTCGAGACAGGCGGGGACGCAGCTCAACACTCGTGTCCCCCCCAGCACAGCCCCTAGCATGGCTAGGAGCTCTGTGAGCCAAAAAGTGTTTCCTCCATGAAGGCAGAAGCCTATCGATTCCTGGTGGTCACCCGCATCCAGCCAAAGCGCCATCCTCTGGGTCTCTGCTACCTCTGCTCGGCCTGGAGCTGTCTGCCACTCGATCTGCGTCCAGACTCTGGCCCTGGGACAGTGTGCAACAGCACAAGGAGGCACCCAGCAGGCCTGATGCGTTCTTGGGGCAGAGAACAGGGCACCACACCGAAAACGGCTGCTTCTGTTAAGACGACGACAGACCTGTTCCCAGCTCCACAAGGAGGAACAGGATTTGCTGCCCTGTGGTTTAGTGCGCCCATAAGAGGAGTTTCTCTCCTCCCCTGCCATCTCCACAGGAGACCAATAGGTAGGTGCTGAGAAGACAGACTTTATGGTCTTTTCAACTCCTTACCCACTTGGTCAAAAGGTCACAGAGGAGGCAGACCACAAACGACCTTGCTTGAGGGCTCTGACCTTCTTTGGGTTGTTGGGCTTTTCTCTTCCCCAAACTCCAAAAGGATCCAACAGGCCGGGGTAGCGGGTACAGGTAGAAGGTGGGAGAAGGAGGGAGTCCTAACGCTGATGGTACTGATGAACTTTCCCACACAGGACGGCTGCCCCATGGGGCCTCCTGGCTTGCTCTCACTGAAAGCTTCAGAAGAACCAACATTAGGTGCATCTGGAAGCCTACTTGGCCAAAAAGAGCCTCTGAGTCCAGCTCTGCTTAGACGTCGAAGGATTTCCATCTCATAAGCAGCATATCCACCCTCCCAGGACGCCACAGAGCACATGGTTATCGGCAGACATCTGAGGTGCACAGAGTACTGGGTCAAACCAAGCTGGGGCTCCCACTGGCAGCTTGGGGAGAGTTATACCTACCTGCCTGCAGTGGGTGGCTCTGACAGATCGTCGCTTCTCCCAGTGCCCTGCATTTACAGGGAATAAAATGATGCCCAGGACAGAGGTGTGACCTGTCCAAGACCACAGAGAATGCACTGGAGGCAGAGCCACATCGCCTAATCCCAGCCGGGGGATCTCTTTATGACAATCATACTCCTGCCCACTGTAGGTAAAGTGGACTCAGCCACTGACTGCACTTCCCTCGTCAGAGAAATGGAGATAGTAATAAAGCCGCACGTCACCTGCATTAGCGAACGTGACCCTGGACTCATGGCTGGAAACGCGAGCAGTCGCTCCGCTTCATACCTCAAAAGGGTGAAGCCACTGGCAAAGCCATTCAGCGGTGGAACCAGGCTCCAAGTCTGATTCTAGAGCTCCAGGGGGCCTGAGCTGGCCCACTACTCCACCAAGCCCACAAGGGGTGTCTCTGTGTCACACATGGAACATGAAGAGCAGAGGAACAAATCCTAGAGGCTCAAGGATAGGGGGTGCGGCCAGTCACTCACACACATACATATTCTGGAGACTGACCTCGGGGGTCCAGCCAGCCCCATATCCTGGGGGTGGGTGATGGAGGTGCATCAGACTGGTCAGGCTAGCTGGGGAGAAGGATGAGGACATGGTGACAAATGAGCTTGTGTTGGTTTAAAATGCCATGGGGTCCAAGAGAAGCTGTCAGGTAAATTGAGGCCCAGCGTGGCTGCAGAAGGTAGGTCAACGGGGAGCTGGGCTGAGAACTGAGGTCCCCTGACTGGTCAGAAATCTTTCCACTGCAGGGCACTGCCCCCCTTGGCGGGGTGGGGGGGTGACGCCAGGGAGGCCTGCACCAGGGAGAGACCCCAAGTGGAAAATCCCACAACCAAATCTGGGAGAAGGGAGTGGAAAACGTGCCCACTTCCTGCCTGGGCTTTCATTCTGCCCCAGACCCTGTTAATGGACTTGCCACTCTGTCTCCAGGGTCCCAACATCTCTGACCGGAGATCCAGAACTCCCGCACTTCTCCTTTTGTTCCCTGCAGTTCCAGCGCTGGGTAGTGTCCCATCTCACAGCCTCGGAGGGCCTGTAAGCAGGGCCTGGGGGCCTGGGAGGTTCTGCAACGGTGCGACACTGAGAGTTCAGTGAGAGAGGCTTTCCTGTCACAGATGGGGAGGGGAGCAGAACAGCCCCACGGCACAAGAGAGCCATGGTCTCCGCAGAAAGGCATTTCAGAGTGTCAGCAGGAGCCACCCATGCCTCTGGGTCGCAGCTGGC